CCTCAGAATTAAAAGGAGGTCTTTTCCAGGTCCAAAATTAGGAAACCTACTGTTGACACATGGATGGAGAAGCCTAGCTGGCTACAATCCATGGGGTCACACAGAATCAGACACGACTGAGCAACTTCACTTTCACTATTGACAAAAAATGTTCTAAGCTGTATTTTGATGCAATTTTCTCTGGAAGGAATAAAAGTATGCTGTCTAAATTGGATTGGTAAGAAATAAATTTGAGAAATACTTATCATCATCCCCCTCTAAAGGATTCACAATTCATATTATCATAGTTAGGACCCTAAGGAGTCCTTATCGTAAAGAAATTTGTTGAACTTAAGAGTTTATAAAATGTTCTTGGCCCCACATGATTTTCTTAAAGTGTTCTTGAAAATCTGAGATTCCAGTTTGGGAAAACTTACCATAAATATTTCTACATCTCATTCACCAAGAGTTTGCAGAGTCGTTTGAGAAAGGAAGTGTTTTAATAGAAATGAAGTCATCTGAGTGGATGAGATGGACTGTTTCTGGGAGCATTTATTTATTTAACAAACATTTATTGAACACCATCTAGAAGAATAAACTAGACTAAGTATTTTTCATTAAACATAAGGATTTTATAGATTCCTTTATTAATATGAATAACTTTGGAATTTTGTTTTAAAAAATTGTAGACATTTTCTGGTATATTCTCCTTTACAGAATGTTCAGGTTAATTAATATGAGAACACACTAACTTCATTTATTGTCTCAAAATGCACCAGATTATGAAGACATGGAAGTATTTATGTTTCAAATATGCAGTACAGTGGATGTTTAGTTTTAGAATGTGTGCATGTGTGCTAAGTTGCTTGAGTTGTGTCCTACTCTTTGCAGCCCTATGGACTGTAGCCCGCTAGGCTCCTCTGTATATGGAATTGTCCAGGCAAGAATATTGGAGTGGGTTGCCATTTCCTCCTCCAGGGGCTCTTTCCAACCCAGGGATCAAACCCATGTCTCTTACATTTCCTGCATTGGCAGGCAGGTTCTTTACCACTAGCACCACCTGACTTACTTAAATGAATAAAATACAACAGTAGTGTTAATGACAAATAGAAATTATCTAGGGCCAGAATAAGACTTTTGATTAAACATAGCAAATTGAGCCTGTTTATTTCTGTACTCTCCTAAAACTCCTCATCAATGGCAGCAATGGAATAAAAAAAGGAATAAACCCACTATGACAAAGAGAACAAGGTAGGTAATAATAGCAACCAAGAGATATCCACATGGTTCTAGAAGGTGCAGAGTACACGACTGAATGGTGAGATTTAGTTCAGCAGAGAAACGGAAGCCCAAATGCCTGCAGTGAGAGATGCCCCCCACAAGAAGTGGACCAGCTGAACCGTAAATATTGTGAAGCTCCAAGATAGGAAGATGCTGGTTATCCCTGAAGCAGGGTGTGGGGTGGAGCTAAAAAGTAGAGAATGAGTTGAATGACAGTAAGTGACAATAAGATTCCAGATGCCCCCTGCAGCCAGTAACATCAGGCATACCCCTCCAGCGTCTGGGAGAAGGCAGGGTGCAAAGCCAACCTGAACCTGAGGCTACTAAAGCCTAGGCCTGGGGCTGCCCACACCCGGGTCCCTTCCAAAGCCTTGTATGTAATTGTGCTTCATAATCTTATTTTTTTTTTGGTCTGGAAGAGGGTCCTCCAAATGATGTAAGCTTGAGACCCCACAAAACTTACATCTATCTTAGACAGTGTGGAAAGATTGAACCAGAAGACACCATTTTAAAAACAAGGGTTCAGTTCAGTTCAGTCGCTCAGTCCTGTCCAACTCTTTGTGACCCCATGGACTGCAGCATGCCAGGCTTCCCTGTCCATCACCAGCTCCCAGAGTTTACTCAAACTCATGTCCATCGCGTTGGTGATGACATCCAACAATCTCATCTTCTGTCGTCCCCTTCTCCTCCTGCATTCAGTCTTTCCCAGGATCAGGGCCTTTTCCAATGAGTCAGTTCTTTGCATCAAGTGGTCAAAGTATTGGAGCTTCAGCTTCAGCATCAGTCCTTCCAGTGAATATTCAGGATTGATTTCTTTAGAATTGACCGGTTGGATCTCCTTGCAGTCCAAGGGACTCTGAAGAGTCTTTTTCAACACCACAGTTCAAAAGCATCAATTCTTTGTTGCTCAGCTTTTTTTATAGTCCAATTCTCACATCCAAGGGGTGATTTTTTTTTTGAATTATAGTTGATTTACAGTGTTTTAGGTGTACAACAAAGTGATTCAGTTATGCATATACATATATATTGTTTATTTTCTTTCAGATTCTTTTCTCTTATAGTTAATTACAAGATATTGAGTATAGTTCCCTGTGCTATACAGTAGAGCCTTGTTGTTTATCTATTTTATAAGCAGTGTGTGTATGTTAATCTCAGACTCCCAATTTTATCCCTTCTTGCCCTTTCCCTTTTGGCAACTGTAAGCTTGTTTTCTATGTTTGTGAATTTGTTAATATTTCTGTTTTGTAAATGAGTTCATTTGTATCATTTTGTAAAATTCCACATATAAGTGATATCATGTGGTATTTGTCTTTCTCAGGCTTACTTTACTTGTTATAATGATCTCTAGGTCCATCTATGTTGCTGCCAGTGGTATTATTTAATTCTTTTTATTGCATAATAATGTTAATATTCCATTGTATATGTGTGCTACATCTTCATTAGCCACTCATCTATCAAGGGATATTTAGGTTGCTTCCATGTCTTGGCTATTGTAAATAGCTTTGCAATGACTTTGGGGTGTGTGTATCTTTTCAAATTAGAGTTTTCATCTTTTCTGGGTATATTCCCAGGAGTGGGATTGCTGGATCTAGTTTTAGCTTTTTAAAGAACCTTGATATTATATTCCATTGTAACTGTACCAATTTACACTCCCATCAACAGTGTCAGATGGTTCTGTTTTCTCCACACCCTCTTCAGCATGTATTATCTGCAGACTTTTTGATGGCAGCCATTCTGACCAGTGTGAGATGATACTTCTTTGTAGTTTTGATTTGCATTTCTCTGATAATTAACAATATTGAGCATCTTTTCATGTGTCTATTGGCCAGCAGTATGTCTTCTTTGGAGAAATGTCTATTTAGGTCTACTGCCAATTTTTCAGTTGGATTGTTTGATTTTTTGATATTGAACTGTATGAGCTGTTTGTTTACTTTGGAAATGAATCCCTTGTCAGTTGCATCATTTGCAAATATTTTTCTCCCAGTCTGTAGGTTGTCTTTTTGTTTTGTTTATGGTTTCTCTTACTATGCAAAAGTTTTTAAGTTTAATTAGGTCCCATGTGTAAAAAACAAGAGGATTGTTTGAGAATCTACATGAAAAACGTTTCCCTTCCATTCCTGCCACATCTTAGCTCCCAGAACACTATAGCCACACTATACTCGCAGGCAAGAGACTAGAAAACACTCCCAGCTCAAAGCCAAAGATCTACAGAAACTGACATTTACAGGGGCCCACCTGTCTCTTCAGGGGATTCAACTCTGACCCAGTCTCCCTACAGCAAAGCTCACTGGTTGACAAGTCCTAGAGCTTAACAGCCTTACTTTTAGTATGAATAGACATTCAAGAATCACCAAAGAAAAGCCTTCAGCAAAATAGACAGAAAAAAAGCAGCAAGAAATTTCAACAATAAAAATAAACCTTTTAAGAAATATCTTCAGGAAGAAAAGACAAAATACTCTATTCATTTAAAAAACTTTATATGCGCTCAGTCACTTCAGTAGTGTCCTACTCTTTGCAACCCTACAGACTATAGCCTGCCAAGCTCCTCTGCCCTTGGGATTCTTTAGGCATGATACTGGAACCAGTGGCCATGCCCTCCTCCTGGGGATCTTCCCAACCCAGGGGTGGAATCCATGTCTCCTACACCTCCCCCATTGCAGGCAGATTTTTTACCCACCAAGCCACCTGGGAAGTTCAAAATCTTTATGTATATATACACATACATACATATATATATATATATACACACACACATATGGTATACGTAAGGGCAGGGCTTCCCTGGTGGCTCAGATGGTCAAGAATCTGTCTGCAATCCAGGAGACCCAGTTTCGATCTCCAGGTTGGAAAGATCCTCTGAAGTAGGGAATGGCTACCCACTCCAGTATTCTTGCCTGACAAATCCCATGGACAGAGGAGCCTAGCAGGTCACCATCCATGGGGTTGCAAAGAGTTGGATGCGACTGAATGATGAACACACACAAACACATATAGTATACATCCATGCATACTATATATACATAAATATACATATGTGTGTGTATATATATACACACATATACATACACACATTCAAAAAACAAGACAAAAATATTGAATATTTAAAATATGATTGCAGGTGGATTGAAATATAACATTGAGGAAATTTGATTGATAATAAGGATTCCAGGGAAAAAGTGTGAAGAAAGTGAAAGAAATTATGAAAGAAATAATACAAGCAGATGTCCCAACTGTGAAAGTTTGAGTTTCCAAATTAAAATAGTCTACTAAATATCCAGTGCAATAAAGAAATAAGTTAATAGTAATAACATAATAATAATGGCTAGGGTTTACAGAGCATGTTTGTGCCCAGCACGGTTCTAAACATTTTGAAGTATTCCTCTTATCCTCCCCAAGACCCTGTGATGAGGGTACTAGTATTATCCTCATTTTACAGCCAACAAAGGCACAGAAAAGTTGAGTACCTTGCCTAATAGAGAGCTAGTTAAGTGACAGACCCAGCAATCTGGCTCTAAAATCTGTGCTCCTAATCACCACACATTTTTGCCTCTCAAAAAAGAAAAAAAAAAATCTTGCGAAACCCCAATTATTCTGAAAGTTTAGAACTCTAATTCTTCCAGGTCACACACCCAGGATGGGGAACAAGAATGTCATCAGAATTCTCAATAGCTCTCGATGCACACCAAGTAGCAATAGGGCAATCATTCCTGATTTCTAAGGAAAAATCGTTTCCTATCCAGAGTTCTAGACCAGGCTCTCAGCAAGGAGGAGAGTGGAATAAAAGCATGTCAATCATGTAAGGCTGCAGACATTCACTTCCCGTGCACTCTTTCTCAAGAAGCTACTGGAAGACCACAGAACGAGGAGGATGTGGTGTCCAGGAAAGGAGATGATGTACCGAAGAGCGGATCAGAGGGAAATCCTGGAAGGTGATAAAGGATAGCCCTGGATGACAGCTGTTCTGCAGGCCTGGAAAGCTCCCAGAGAGGACTGGAGAGGGAGGACCTGGCTCTCAGGAGGGGTAATGAAAGAGGAGGAGGAGGAGGAAGAGAAACTGAGATCGCTATAGTGCTGGATCATCTCGAGAGACATTTTCTAGTCCTGGCAGCATGTTTAGGAACCAATTCATTCTCAGCACATGAAAAACTAAGTAAATGCAATAACAAGGCCCTTTCCGACTCAGAGAAAATATTTGTACAGTAAGCGAAAGTTAATCGTAGTATAATTTATGCTGCAGTGTTGAGTAATATTTATCTAGTTATACCCATGCAAGCATCAAACATTTTATTAGAACTCTATTGGGTAGGTGGAGGAAGGGGACATGTATTCTTTCCTCTGCTTAATTTTTTCATGTCATGGATCACTTTCTGGAATTCTCCAATTATTTGGCTACTTGTCTGCTTTTTATTTTTTCACACCAGAATGAATGTAAGTTCCTAAGGATGGGGACTTGGTCTTATCCATTGATATATCCCCAATTATTTTCTGAAATGAAGGGAGCAAGGCATGTTTAATTGAAATAAATCCCCATCCTTCAGATAGAAAATCAACAGGCAATGTCTAAAATTGGGAAATCTTAAGAGTATAAACATATTGTATCAAATAATACCAGTACAAACCCATAAGATCCTTGAAAACAGTTTCTTCTGGGGAGCAGCAGTTGAGAACACACAGGGGTAAAGCAGGAGAGAGCTGTGTCCATTATAAGCTTTGTAATATTTTCTGGTTCTTAAATTATTAAATATATTACTTTGATAAACAATAATTAAACCTTGTAAAGAGAAAATAAATGGATAGTATAAAAATATGTAAAGTTTCATTTTACATTTAAAACATTTTGTAGTAGTGTTTTAGAATGACTTACTTCACAACATTATGTTGAATGCATTGAGTGAGGTAAGAGATTAGAGGAAAGAGAACTAGGAGGACTTTGGAATGGTTAAGATGATAGGTGATGAGACCCTGAACTAGATGGATACCTCTGAAATAGGAGTAGTGACATAGTAGAACATATTTTGGAGGTTTAAAAAGTATTTTAAAAGATATCCAGGAATGACCACATATTCCATGGCCATCATCTATAGTGCATTCTCAACTAATTTTTCACGACTTTGGAAATAGTGCAATGCTTATAAATTAAACACTTAAAAGAAATCAAAGTTTACCCTGATTTGTAGCAATATTCCTTTCAGGACATTTTTGTAGTTCTATTGTCCATGATAAAGTATTTACAATTGTTTGACACACAGGCTAACTTTCAAAGCATGAGATAGAATTGCAGTATCCATATTGTACAACTACTTACAGTTCCACAAGTTTAGGACTTGGAGAAGGCAATGGCACCCCACTCCAGTACTCTGGCCTGGAAAATCCCATGGACGGAGGAGCCTGGTGGGCTGCAGTCCATGGGGTCTCGAAGAGTCAGACATGACTGAACGACTTCACTTTCACTTTTCACTTTCATACATTGGAGAAGGAAATGGCAACCCACTCCAGTACTCTTACCTGGAGAATCCCAGGGATGGGGGAGCCTGGTGGGCTGCTGTCTATGGGGTCACACAGAGTCGGACACGACTGAAGTGACATAGCAGCAGCTTTCAGGAGTCAGCATCCTCTGATTTTAAGAAATCATCCGCCATATTCCTGATAAAGATCTCAAGTTATTTCTCAGCCCTTTGGAATACCAAAACACCCTGTCTTTCCTACTCTGTAATAATTTACGTTATTCTGCCTTGTATAATTTTGAATTGTTTTTATCCCTCTTATGATGAAGTCATTTGGACCAGTTTTTATACCATAGACATGCGTGCACTCAATATAGATTTTTTGAGTTGAATTGAGTATTCATCATTTGTAAGTGCTTATAGAGATTTAGTTATTTAGTTTGCTGAAGTTCCAATACTTTGACCACCTGATTCGAAGAGCAGACTCATTGGGAAAGACCTTGATGTTGGGAAAGATTGAAGGCAAAAGGAGAAGAGGATGGCAGAGAATGAGATGGTTAGATAGCATCACTGACTCAATGGACATCAGTTTGAGCAACCTCCAAGAGACACTGGAGGACAGAGGAGCCTGGCATGCTACAGTCTATGGGGTCACAAAGAGTAGGACACGACTTAGCAACTAAACAACAAGAGGAGAGGAACTCAGTTTCCTCACTAAATAAGGAATTAAACTAAATTAATTGTTTTTACCCCGTTTGCACATTAGAAACATCTTGAGACTTAGAAAAATTCTGATATGCAAGTCCAAAAAAAAAAAGTCTGGGTAATTTTCTTAATTCCCCTGTTGCTTCTAACAGAGATTGAGAGCTCCTGAGTTCAATTACGAAAGCTGAGTTTGATTCCCAAACCTGGTTAGGTATCAGAATCACTAAGAAACACTTATAAAAGTGCTTCCCTTCCAGCTCCAAACTCTGATTATGACCAAGGGGCGCTCAGACCACTGCTGTTGATTTTTCTCAATGAATTTGATTTAACAAGTTACAGAATCAAAGAGCTTGCAGTGGGTGATCCACTTAGAGAAAAATACTAAGTTTGGGCTTGTGTACAAGGAATTGGGGTTTCCCTGGTGGCTCAGTGATAAAGAATTCTCCTGCAATGCAGGAGACACAGGTTCGATCCCTGGATGGGGAAGATCCCCTGGAGAAGGAAATGGCAGCCCACTCCAGTATTCTTGCCTGGAGAATCCATGGACAGAGGAACCTGGTGGGCTGCAGTCCATTGGATCACAAAGAGTCAAACACAACTTTCTGATTAAACAAGAAGAAGAAGAAGGAATTAGAAAGTTGTAGGGAGTGTGTAACTCTCTTATCTCTACCCTCCCCTCTAACATTCTTCTCTGTCAATACTGGGCTTAATTCCTGCCTGGAAAGGAGATTTGGGATTTGCGCCAGTTGACACCTACAAGCTAGTTCCAAACCCCTAGGGAAACATGGAAAAACAGTAATATATAATGATAACAATAATATAACAACAATAACAGTAACTGTCAAGCTTTTCTTTTTTTAATTCCCTTAATTGATCGATGGCTCTGCTGGGTCATTGTTGTCGCGCATGGGCTTTCTCTAGTTGAGGCGAGTGAGGGCTGCTCTCTAGTTGAGGCTTGCGGGCTACTCACTGGGGCGGCTTTTCTTGTTGCGGACCCCAGGGCATAGGCTTCAGTAGTTGTGGTGCTTGGGCTTAGTTGCTCTGCTGCATATGGGATCTGCCTGGACCACGGATCATGTCTCCTGCATTGGCAGGCGGATTCTTGGCCACTGGACCACTCAGGAAGTCCCACTATCATGCTTTATGCAGTGCTATGCTTGCAAAAGATAAGCATAGGTCTTATTCAATGGTATATATTGTCACTGTGGAGAAGGCAATGGCAGCCCACTCCAGTACTCTTGCCTGGAAAATCCCATGGACAGAGGAGCCTGGTAGGCTGCAGTCCATGGGGTCGCTAAGAGTTGCACACGACTGAGCAACTTCCCTTTCACTTTTCATTTTCATGCATTGGAGAAGGAAATGGCAACCCACTCCAATGTTCTTGCCTGGAAAATCCCAGGGACGGGGGAGCCTGGTGGGCTGCTGTCTATGGGGTCGCACAGAGTCGGACATGACTGAAGCGACTTAGCAGCAGCAGCAGCATTGTCACAGTTTCCTCCTTACACCACATGTTGTACTTAATACTACTTTCACTATGAGTAAAAGTATGAGTTACTAAATAACAATGTTTATTTAATCATGCAATATAAACTCATGGAAGCTTCATGACAGTCAGATAGGCTGGGAAAGCCTGACTTGGCACTTGAGCAAACTGAAATTAAAACTTGTAATAACCGAGCCATGGTCTTTCTGTCACCTGGACCCAACACCAGTGTTCCTTCTGTTCTAGTATATCCCACTCTTTTTTTTTGTAGAGAGAGTGGAAACTCTTCTTCCTACAAGCACGTCACATTTGTGGGGCTTCCCTGGTGGTCCAGTGGTTAAGAATATGCCTGTCAGTGCAGGAGACACAGGTTCGATCCCTGGTCCAGGAAGATTCCTTGTGCCGCAGGGCGCTAAGCCCATGTGCCACGACTACTGAAGCCCGAGTGATGGGCGGCAACGAAGACCAGTGCACCTGAAATAAATTAATTATGTAATTTTAAAAACGAACAATGAAAAAAAAAAAGAAAGTCAGATTTCAAGTTCTGAATGTGCAGTTTACTTCCTGATGAACCCTTGTCCTTGAAGAAGAATGTCTGGGATGCTAGATATTTCAAGCAACCAAGGCAATGCAATTTGTATAATAAATTTATATGTTACTTGGGCTTGTCTTCTTTCCACGTGGAAATCACTTTGTTTAAAAACTACAAATTTCCTATAAAACTGCTTAACAGCACCACTGTGAGTTTGATTTCTATTTTATCAACATGGAGAAGTGTTTGACAGGCTAGAGTCAAAGGTTTGTTTTTCCATCCAGGTGTCACTGGTACTTAATACCTGGTTCTTGAAAAGAATGATGTCATCTGTGTTAGCAGTCACGACACATACACCACGCTCATCCTGTATACAATTTGACCTTGCGGTGCTGAAAAAACAGAAAGATTGTATGTGGGAAAAAAACAAAAGGAGACTGAGATGGTTGTACCGAGGGGTCTAATTACAGGTATTTGAAGCATAAAATCATTGTTTAGAATCTCTTTGCAGAGAAAAGCTTGTCCTCTACCAGCTGTATTTTTTCTGCGCTCTTTTCTGCTTTTGTGGAAGTCAGCTTCTTTGTTAGCCTTCCAGTGTTTAAATAGACTGGAGCTATATTTTGAGAGACAATTAGAAAAACTCCAGAGTGCTACCAAAGGTTGCAAAAAACAAAAGAACTTTTCTAACTAATCCTCCTAGTTTTACTTCATTTTATTTATTTTTTTTAATTGGAGTATTGTTGCTTTACACTGCTATGTCAGTTTCCGC